TTTGTTTCACACTTAAGCCATTGACAAGGTTGGATCTTATTTAGATAAGGGATGTGCTGCCAAACAACACCTGCAAATAGCCTTCGCATGGCGGGCGACAGATTTGATAGAAACCCCTTTAAGATTCATTCTTCGTTATTATACATAGAGTAATTACGATGGAGCAAAGGAGACTTTACGTAGGTATGTAAAAGACGGGCGTTGGTCATGGATTGCAATAGGGACGGACCCCCTCCCACCCCGACCCCAAATGAATCAGAACATTGGATAACATTGTCGCCGGAGTGTCCTCTGCCTGATGGAGCTAATAATGTTATTCAACCAAGGTCTTGGTATTATTGGTTAAGCACGTAATTATAAATGGCCAATTTGTAACCTTACGAATTGTTTTCATCGAGGTATTGACACATTCAGAAATTTGTTCATTAAAAAAAAATGATCAGTACCTGTACATTTAGTAAAGAATTATTGTCCAGCACAGTAATTCGAGTCTTTTATATTTATTAAAATAACACAAAATAAAACAACATCTACAAAAAACATAATAGTCTTATAGGTATTTAAAAAGCTCGCTTTCTTGTTGCAAAACAGTTTCGTATTCTCTTGTCGTGTAACTTATCCTAAACAGAGCATCAACTATATTCCAACTTCCCGTTACAGTATCGTCCTGTGTTCTTCCCGCTGTTATATTACTGAAGAAAATAAAGGTAGAATAAAACACAAATAGATAATGACTGCCATTTGTTCAGAAGGGAAACCTAATCAGGCGAAGGACGCACATCCCAATTTCGCCGTTTGTTTATAAAAAAAAATTCAATCTAAATTGGCATATCCGGGGGGGGGGGGCATTACATAGAAATTGTGTGATTAATCAAAAATGAAACAAGAGTGCTGATTCTTACTAATTGCATGTACGTACAGGTACATGTGTATGCGTCCTCATTCTGACATTACGAAACATTAAATACTGACCTGCAAACGTGCTGTTACTCAACTGATAAATGTACTACAGCAATGAATAATAGATTTCAAAGGGCCAAACAAAAGAATCACACCTTTATTTGGAAGTTGAAATGAGTCAGACTCTCGTAACAATACTGAATCCGTCTGGCCATAATTAAGCACGAGTCATGAATACGGCCGAAATAAATTTTCTAAAGAGAATATGAAAATCATGATTCCCTTACTGTATTGAAACAACATTAACAATAACTAACCTTAACAAAGTTTATAACTAATCTCATGATATGAAGGTGCGGTTTGGCTCTGTAGTGAAAAGAAATTATGGTATTTGAAGGTAGGTATTAAAAAAATCTTTGTTCATGTAGTCCCCTTCAAAGACAACAAAGACAGAAAGGTGAATCATTCTCACCACAAGTGTTTTCGTCGTAGACAACATCCCCACGTTCATAACAACAACAACAGCAACATGAAATTACAAAAAAAGAAAAGAAAACACACACACTATATCTGTACTCCTCTCTACTTCTTTGTGTCGTCTGCGTGTGTCTGGGCGCAGCGGTGTGTGTGGGCGGATTATAGTGTGCGTGATCATGTTTGTGTATGTCTGTCTTTCTCTCATTCTCTTTCCTTTTCCCACTGCACACCCCCCTTCCTTTCCTCTATTTATTTGTTTAATGTTTTCTCCCTCCCTCTATGTTCTGCCCATTTTCTCTTTCTCGGAAGCCCTACATCTGTGTCTGTCTGCTTGTCTGTCTTTGTTTCTCTCTAATTCCGAACTTCGTATTGTTATCAATAATAAGCTCACAAAAATCAGCACGTACTGATATAAATTGATGAAATCTATGGGATAAATAATTCTTCTTTAGACTATGTGTTCTTTTAATAATAATAATAATAATATCGAATATTTAGGAGCGCTAAAAACAATAAGTACCATAGCGCTTACAATAATACAAATATATGAAAAGAGGACAAATGTACAGTACAGGAAGTATATCACATAGATCGTTAGGGGAAAAAGGTGAGTTTTGAAAGTGGCAAGACAGGTAATTTCCCTTATGGAAAGAGGGATGCTGTAATGATGATAGAATCAACATATATCAGTCTCGTCCAATCATAACATTAGGAAAAAACTTATTGGGGAAATAGCTACATTAAATTATAAAGTTTCATATTAACAAATTTTGACTATCCTGACATTTGACCAATTTAATGACAATTTTGATGGTTGATTTTGAAGGTATACCTAATGATCTCGTCAAAAATATTAGTAATAGTTATGAAGAAAAAAAAAGGTTTCACAAATTATTAATCATGAAATCAAGCCAACCTATGATTGATCACAATCATCTTTTGTGTCTACATCTGTCATTGAATATTAAAATACTCCGCACATACACTCAATTTTTCAGAGTTGTTGACCAAATACTAAAGATGACGTCAATTATTAGTCATTTGTGGTGCTCTTTGGTGTCATATTTTCTGTCTCTCATGGTAGCTAAGATGTTATGGTTATTCAGATATCCCACAATCACTTTGGTTTGCAAAACATTCTTGTTGTGATTCTTAGACACCTTTGAACAATACTCCCAATCATTGTCACTTCTTGCAGACTGCCGTGACTCGCAAAGCGTCACTAAAACAAATTAGTCTTGGTCAAAGACCCTGCTCTCCGAAATTCTCGAAATATTTATCAGTTCGTCATTGTATTAGTGCCCTCTTAAAAGGCAAGTCCACTCCCAAAATAAATAACTTTCAATAGAAGCAGAACAATCAGACAAACCAATCAAAATTGTTTAAAATAAAATCGGAGGAATGCACAGGAGTGGAAGTCCACTCTTTCAAAAGTAATAATAAGGGATCCACCCACAAAATGGAATTTTAAATTGAAACCCACGCTCATAAAAACTGGAATCCATTACAAAGTAGTGGTTTAAAATCACTCTTTAAAGACTAAATTCAACTATCTTTGAGTGTGGATTTAAAATCCAAAATGAAGTGAATCTTCATATGACTCCCAAAATACTGAATTTCACTCTGTCAGAGAGTAAACCTTTCAGCTGACGTGTATCTAATAATAATGGATTTAACCGAATATTGATCTGGGAGCACAGTGGAGGTAACTCTAGGGCATTGATTTATTGACCTGTATCTACCTCTATGTTAGATTTGTAATTTGATATCGTAAAATGGTGGTATATATGGTAAAGAGTCATCATCAAATGAATCATTTCCTCATTGATTGAAGGAAGTATTGAGTATTTACGGCTTTTACGTCGTAAATAAACACAAAGTCATGACATCAGCCCTTAAATTACAGATAAATAACCTCAGATAGTTTGAATGTGTATTCAACCTCTCAATGTATACTCATATCTATTATATTCATATATATCTTTCTTCCTCTTTCTATCTTTATCTCTTTTTATCTCTCTCTCTCTCTATTCCTCTTTCTCTCTCTCTCTCTCTCTCTCTCACTCTCTCTCCATATATCTCTATGTCTCTTTCAATTTCATATGCTTGATATATCGTCTCCACCGATCAAATCGTTCCTTGTTACTCTTTTCCCTCTATTTGCATTCATTCAAGATGGATGCTCCCGGCTACAAATATAATCATGCGTATGATATCCATACAATATTACATCCACAATTTAATATCCCATGAGTTTAACACGTTTTAGGCATTTGCCTAAGTCCCTCCCCCCCCCCCCCCCCCAAACAAAAAACAAAAAGACGAGGAGAAATTTATATTTTAGTGGATTTGTTTATATAGATGACATTCTCTATGACCCTCATTTTAGCTCTCTTTCTGGATGATAAAATGACCTCCTGTTTTATGTATCTACTTTCTGGATTCATGTCATTATTTGTCAAAACATCTGTTTAAATATTAAAAAGAACCTTTTCGAGTTTATCTTTAGTTAAAAGAATGAAACAAATGAATCAATAAGATATGATAGCCTCAGACAATTTAATTAAAAATGAAATAAGGCCATTCCAGTACCTCTTGATGACCGTTTAAACAGATACCAATGTGGTTGGTACTCACGAGACACTTTCTCTGTCATGAATTTATAAATCATGATCATAGTACATGTATATATATATCGAGAAATTCATTACATGCCCGCAACAGGGTCATTAATACCTTTGACAAGCATCAATAAATTCCTATTTCGTTGTATAAATCATGATAGTACATGTATATATATCGAGAAATTCACTGCATGCCCGCAAAAGGGTCATTAATACCTTGGATAAACACCAATAAATTCCCCTTTCGTTAGGGTTATGCAACCATGTCAAATAATGATAATTGATAACTACACTATTTGGGTGACCAGAACATTATTATTTATTTACACAATTGTTGCAGTTTTATTCGTATTCTTCATTCTTTTTAATTTCAAGCGCCATTTAATCAGTTACAATGCTGACTTGTATATATTGCTGTTCATAGAGATCGAGGCACTACGGAGTTTAATTTACAGTTTAGTATGAAAGTGATTTTATCCATGATTGAGTATGCGGTGAGGTTTACAAATGATTGAACATAATCTATATGTTAAACATTTTATATTTTTTATATTGTTTTCTATCTTAATGATACTCTTACATCAAAGATGGATTTTAATCACGTTGAATTGCATTTTTAATAGTAAATTGTGCAGGTACAGAAATTCAGGGTATGATTAATTAGACTAGGCACATAAAACACTCCGATACGATCACATGTGTATTATCTGCTGGTTGGTTGAGTGGCTCTCTCTCTCTCTGTCTCTCTGTCTCTGTCTCTCTCTCACTATCATTTCTACCACTCTCTTGCTCCCGACTTCCTCGTTTTACAAATCGAGTTCACCATTCTGCGATATGCAACGGGTGGGTGATTACGCTACATAAAAACTTCCGTCTGCTTCTGTCAAGCTACTCGGATTAGTGTTGCCGCATAACAAGCTACTTGAAGAGTCGTTCCTCATAGATGGTTGGAATATTGTAAAGTTTAATTTGATTTAATGAGAGCTGATGATAGCCAGGATGGATACTACAGCACCTCTCTCACAAGGAATATCAGCGACGGCGTCTCCGACTTTTAGGCTAGTCGGTTCTACCACGAACACCACTTTCGATCTTAGGTACTCAAACATGATAGACAGCACGACAAGTGCCTCTCATATTACTTTCACTAACTTCAGTGATTTCTCGCCGACAAGTCATGCCAGCGAATTGCCCATTCCTCACCTAGCCGAAAGGATCATTGAAGCTCTGATCCTGACAGTGATCTGCATCGTGGCCCTCTCTGGAAATACTCTCCTTTGGGCGGTGGTGCTCAGGCATCGCTCCCTCAAAACGGCATCCAATGCCCTGGTGCTCTGCCTAAGCGCGGCTGATCTTCTGGTATCGACGGTCAGCATGCCGGTGACCATCGTCAGCATATCCACGGGACAGTGGCTATTCAATGACCGGCTCTGCAAGGCATTGGGATTCATCAGTATGTGTACCTTCATCGGGTCCGTCATGTCTCTAGGAGCTATCAGCATTAATAGATATGTCTTAATCGTGCATCCATCGAAGTTTAGGAGAGTATATACCAAGCGGAATACAGCATTTTTCATAATCGGTGAGTAAGGTTTACCTTTCCTTGTTCGTGTAAAATTTTTGTTTATCTCCATAACGCTGGAATAATATTTTGTTACCTCTTTCATGAAAATAGTGTTTGTGACACTATCGTTTATTCCATATTATAATATGGATTCTTCTCATAACTTTATTGATCAATCTCTATTATGCTTTTGATTGATTAATAGAGTTCTGAGAAATATAAACTTTATCTAAAAATAATAGAATACTATTCTCACTATCACTTCGTCAAGAGGTACGAAAAATCAATCCGACTTACGTGTAACAGTGTAAATGTAGATTCTTATATATATATAAAGAAAAATAAATCAGTAGATTCCATTAAAGGTTGTTGATACATGCAATCTTGTCATTATAGGGTAAAATATATCATACTTTTGGCCAGTACACTTTATATTCTTTCATTCATGGAGTGTCATGAAATTCGGGGGGGGGGGGGGAGGAGAAGTGTGAAGTGGCAAATTTGACCCTGGTCAACTGATGTGGTTTCCCATTTTAACCCGTTGACTACTGAATTATCTAATTCCCATAGACTTAACACAGGAACCCCCAGGTTCCAGTAAGCAATGGGTTAACACTTGAACACGAACCTTCACTGAAAATAGAAAGACAGTGCTGGGGATAAAAATGAAAATTCATCTTTACTCATATGGCTCCGTTTAGTCTCATTTCACAACGCCCCCTATCGTCAGAGCATGATCAGAGTCAGCAGCCTAACATGTTAGCCTATGGACGTTTTTTTTTAAAATCGTTAAAAATTCATTTCTTGTTTAAACGAAAAGCACATCCACCCCGACGTACGTTATCACTAGCTCTTTCATTGGAGCCCTCATGTCTCATTGACTTTTGAAAGTTCACCCACCGTAATTTTTCAAAATAGGTTGCAAGCTCGTCATTGCCTATAATACACATGTGAAACAAGTCTAACTTTGGACTCAGTTTACCAAGCGATTTGAAGATTATAGGTCGAGCACACGAAACATAAAAAGCATGAATTATCATAGATCACTTCTGCCTATTTCATTATGTCCATTTCATCCAACCCCCCACCGTAATTTTTCCATTTAGTAAAAGCAAACATTTTGCCGAGTTTAGCAAACACATGAATATTCATGAACGGTCAGACAATACAGCCTTTTAGTACGTAACGTATAGTGAATGGGAATGGGCAATGATCCGTTCAGGAGGTAGAGGTCAGTGGTTTGTGCTGGCAATGTTCACGCAAGCGAAAATGAGACAATCGGAGCAATATGTCTATGGTGTCTTACAAAACAGTTTTGTTACTGAAGTACTTACCTTGTATTCTAGATTTTTTAAAAAAATTATAAATGAATCAATACATAATGAACAGAAATAGAGTTTTCAAAATGATAACATCAAATTTGCTGCAGTGGTAGGCAGCTCATCTCCCCTTAAATTGAGTGGCAAATATCTGGGCTTGGTCAATGAGAAGTTTCACGACACATGCCCCTATACGGCAGTTGTTCCGCATCAGTTTCCTACACTAATACAACAAAAGTTTTTAAAAAAAACTTTGTATTTTCCCTTAAGAAAATTTTCAATCGCACATTGACCCTAAATTTAACTATTGCAAATATAATTTTATACAACCCCTTGTATGAAACAAATCTATTCCGTCGTCAATAACTTAGAAAATGAAAGTTTATTAATTTTTTCTGTTCAGAGCAAATTGGAGAGGAGCTCGCAAGAAACATCACAGTGTTGCCAAATTGTGTTTGCTTGATTGCACCTTTAAAAATTCATAACTTTCTTATTTTTTCATCGTTTTTGGTTCAAAATTTCACTGCCCTGTTTCTCTCATTCCTCTGCTTCTATTAAAACCAACCTGATATGGACTTGGACTTCCCCCTTTAAAGTACAAGCCTTTTTAATTCATGAAATGGGGCAAGACATGTGCAGAGTGATGTATCACTAAAGGAAATCTTTTAAGTGTAACAACATTAAGTGGACCCGGCATGTGCTCCTAGTAATTGCTTTCTTTCTTCAAATGTATGGGATAAAGTGTTGTCATTAGGTTTATGTCACGACTAACTAGGGTTAGATAAGGGATTGGTATAATTTTGGGCTCCGGGTTTAAAGGGATAGTTGAGTTCTGTTGCAGAGGGCGCTACACAAAATATTTTTTTGTGAGATAATGAAAAACTGAGTGTCAAATGTGAAAGAACATACAATTTAAATGACCAAATCATCTTTGTTTGATCAAAATCGGTTCAGAGATGGCTGAAATATCCATAAATATAACGATTTCTGATATTTGTGTATACCACCACAAATATTCGATAATTTGAAAAAGCCGTTGAAAAAACGAAATTGTGCCTATTACGTTGTGTTTCAGCCAATGCCGATGTTGGATTTTTGATGGCTTTTTCGTGTTGGTTATATAACTCACAACCAGCCGGCCCATGTATTGTTATCATTAATTAATTAATTAATTAATTAACGGTCACCGTATTTTTTGAAAGTGGAGCTGAATTAGTATAATTGTATTGACTATATTTTACACATTTTGGGGTCTAAAATTACTGTTATAGCAATGTTAGGTCCCAAAAGGGCAATAGAAATGTCATAGATAAGAATAAAAGCAATAAGCATGCACTTTGAAGGCATTTGCGGTCTGAAATCAGAACTCAACTCTCCCTTTAAGTCAAGTATCGCTTAGTGTAGGAAATGTTTTTCATTTTTCTGCTTAGATCAAAAGCAAATTATTATCAGGGTGAACTCTCCCTATAAGAATGACCATGAAGAGCTAATTTAATCAAGTGATTAAACAAATTGGGTGGTGTTAGCGATATCGTCATAGGGACAACGAATGAGCGGTAATTACTCCCAAACAGAAGAGCCTACTAATTTGTTATGATATAATTGGCAACGACCAAATCACAAAATCATAATTGTGTACAGAAACACACGATTCCAACGCTGTACACAATGCACGTACAGGTTCTATTCCTTGAAGAGAACAGTGGAACCTGTATATAAAGACCACTCAAGGGGAGCAGAAGGGTGGTCTTTACATGCGAGTGGTATTATGCAGGTTACTTTAGAACAGGATGAAATTATAAAGACTGTTCAAGGGAAACATATACGTCGTCTTTCTACGCAGGCAGGCACAAAGGATTTGACTGTATCAGAATTTATTTAAGAATAAAATTCGATATTTCAAACTTGCCTTAAAAGTGAATTCATAAAGTAACTTCAAGACTCTTCGTAGCATGGACGTTAAATAAAAATGAGAACTCGCTCTCTGATTATGATACGCGAAATTTCACAAACCACAGGTGCTTAATTTGCTTGCATGTGAAAACATAATACAATGCAATTGCAATGTTATTTGCAATTTAATATAAGTCTATTACAAACAATATACAATGAAACAAGACAAATATAATAGTAATGGCACGAGAAAAGAAGAACTAACAAAATTTCATTTCCCAGCTTTCAAAATTTACATGAAATTTTAAGAACAATCCCTTTCAGGGAATATTTCTACTATGATATCCATCCAAACTGACATAAAAATATTCAGGAATCTCACGAAATGATATGTCCACTTTACCAGAACACACCTGCCTCGCTAAGCAGTGTAAGTAGCCTATCCTTCCACTACTGTCAAGTTAATTGGGTGGAAACCATTAGACCTTTAATTGTACCCGACGTAAACCCCATCAAAGCTCTGTAAATTAGAGGAGGCAGAAGAAAGGCCACAGGTTAGGTTTCTTAAAGGAAATACAAAGTTTTGGAAAATTTTGAAAATTGGGTAGATCGTGATTCTTAACAATTTTGATATATTTGGATGCCCCTGTGAATGTCTTATAAGCACTAAAAAAATTAGCCCCTAAAACACTTCTGCTTTCGAGAAAAATTGAATATAAAAATTTACCGGGAGCTATACAACATAAAGAGTTTATTATTTACAATTTCATAACTTTATATTTCGATTTCAACTGCTACAATGACCACTGAATATTGTAGGATCACATATGCTTCCAATATGTTCAATTGAACCAAATTCATGACCTAATACCAAAGCTTTGTATTACCTTTAAAGCAGTGGAAAGTGAAAGAAACGGTTCAGTCTCAAAGGAAGCTTGATTGTTTTTGTAATTTGAACGAAGAGGTTTTGAAAGCCAGGGAATGTTGAGGCGAATATAAAAGGCTTTGGTTTTAATTAGAGTCGTGCTCTAGGAAGTTAGAGACCTAGTAAATGACCTGAAAAATATTCTCATCAAATGGAAATACAGGGTATTATCATTAGCGTAGCGTAGGCCGCCAGGCCATTGAGGGGAACTGTCATCATGGGTGAAGGGGTGGCACCGGCCTTTTGAATAAAAACGTACCCCATGTCCCCTTCCAGTGGCTACATCACTTGGTATAATGATTTCCAATCGTGCAGGAAACATAAAAAGCCGTTATGCCATTCAGTCTGCATATTTGCAGATACAATACAGTGCGTATAACAAAGTGTACCCAACTTTGGTAGCTTCTAATTGAAGAGATATAACTGATGTTCCCCCAAATTATATTTTAATATTGAGAAGAACTGATATCCTGTCTAATGACACCATTTTCATAATTGTGCTGCCAAGGATGACTGAACAGCAGACTTTTCAAAAAGTATTGTCAAAATCCTCTTGTACCAAGTTTGAGCTGAAAAAATAAATGTGGGTCAAAAGCCATTATGTGTATTATCCCATTCGAAAAAAAGCAAATGCTCAATTATTTACATTGAATATTAGGCAGTCGGAGAATTTTCTTTTAAAATATCAACTCAACTCAAGGAAATAAAAAGCCAAAAAAAACTATGTCGGTCAATGTCTGGAATACACAATCTTTTCAGAAGGAAAGGAAAGGGAATGTTTAGTTATCTGCATGCGGTAATGACAGTTTAAATAGCGGAAAAACATGTTTCTACTAGGACTTCCCTTGCTTCAAAAGAAGATTCCTGTTTGAGGTTGAAAGTCTAGAAA